GAGGGTTCAGGGTACGAGTAATACAGTGCAGGTGGAGGACACAGCAGTGGCCTCACTAGCTAACATTCCGTAGTACTATCACAGTTCTTGCTCAATAAAATGTTCGAAGCACAGCACAGGGCTCACTGGCCTCACTGGGTTAGCAGTTGGTGTTAGTTTTCCATGAAAAGAAAGTAATGTCAGAAACGCACACAGAAGAATCTATTTTCAATGGCAATTATCTTGAGAAGCCCAGAAATCTCGTAAAAGTCAGGCTGAGGGTTAGATGTGTAGGGGCAACAAGAAGCCCTGTGGCTGACCTGCAGAGAGAGAGTTCAGATTGCACCCAAGAGCTCACTATGCACGCCATGCACACACATACCCACGACCGGGCCGGCTGCAGCGCCCGACCCTGCTGGGAGGGCTGTCCCTGCTGTCTCTTTCTCTCTGTCTCTCTCACTCATGGAAAACATGAAAATTTGAAAATAATAAATGGGGTTTGAGGAGAAAAACTAACTTAGGGAAGAAAAACTGATGTTGAAAACAGTTTTTTAACTGACTTAGCATGAGAGCTTAAGCACAGCTACTGCTCTGTGGATATTTACCGGGGGCTGCCTGGTCAGCCGAGCCAGTCTTTGCACGGGCCAGATCTTGCTCGGAGACGCCTCGCGTGGAGCTGTCCTGAGGCAGACTCCTGACTACCTGGTCACATCTCACAGGTCCCTCCAACTGCTTCATGTCACTGTGTCCACCCAGATTTTCCCTCGATTTCCCAAAGTCAATGAAATCATCCCTATGGAGTTTTTTGTTTGTTTCGGTGTATGCCATAGGGCACACACTCTCACCAAAGAGAGATAGAGACAGAGAGAGGGGAAATGAGAAATCACCCCACAGGGGGAGGGACACACCACAGTCCTTTCTCCTCACACTCACACGCATGTACCTTGACATGAAGTCACAGAATCCAGGACACAAACTGTGGTCAGCCATGTGGAATCCAGTGTCTTAATCACCTTGCTTCCTGCTGGCCCTATAGAGAGTATGTTTTAAATAGCATTGCCAGGGTCCAGCAGTTGGTGTAATGGCTATGTTGCTGGACTCCCATGGAGTCGACCATGGTTCGAGTCCTGGACCTGGTAGCTTAAACTCACGCCAGGCACATGTGCATGCATGTCCAAGATCCTGAGAGGAGAATGGAGGAGAAGGGATGGTGGTGTGACCATCCCCCCGGGGGCTGATTTCTTGCTTTCTATCTCTCTGTCTCTCTTTGTCTTTCTCGTGAGCACACGTGCCCTATAGCAAAAACCTCTCTAAAAAAACTTTTTTAAAAATAATAAATAAATAAATAGCATTGCCATGTTGGGGGCCTATGGGACAACTTTTTATTTTTCCTTTAAAAGTACATACAATTTGGGACCAGCAGTTGGTGTAATGGTTATGTCGCTGGAGTCCCATGTAGTTGATGGTGGTTTGAGTCCTGGACCTGGTGGTTTAAACTCACGCCGGGCATGTGTGCGTGCATGCCCAAGATCCCGAGAGGAGAACAGAGGAGAAGGGATTGTGGCATGACCATTCCCCCTGGGGGGGGTGATTTCTCCCTTTCTGTCTCTGTTTTTATGGCAAGTACAAGTGCCCTATAGCAAAAGCCTCTCAAAAAAAAAAAAAAAAAAAAGGCATACAATTTAAGGAATGCCAGTGTCCATGTAACATTAGGTCTAAATATGGAGAGCCAAAGGAGTCAGTGCAGCTGTTATTGTAGCACAAATTAAATATTTCCTGTATTAATACAGTTAGTGGTTTCATAAACATGATACTTGGAGGGGGGGGGAAACCTCTCAGTCTTGCCAAAGTGCAAAGCCATCCTGTCCCCGGCCAGGGTGACACAGCAGTATCTGTAGTGGGAAGATGGAGGAACCCTTTCTGACCAGCAGCTCTCCCTTCAGCCTGTCTCTTTTTCTCAAACTTTACAATAAATAGCAGCTAGAAACCAGGTCACACCTTCCACACTCGGCTCAGGAATCTCCTCAGCGGACCGTCCATGGCAGCAGGACAAATGCCGCCTCCTGCCACGACCAGACAGTGGTCCTCTAATTTCTGCAGACGCTTTGGAGGAACCCTTTCTGACCAGCAGCTCTCCCTTCAGCCTGTCTCTTTTTCTCAAACTTTACAATAAATAGCAGCTAGAAACCAGGTCACACCTTCCACACTCGGCTCAGGAATCTCCTCAGCGGACCGTCCATGGCAGCAGGACAAATGCCGCCTCCTGCCACGACCAGACAGTGGTCCTCTAATTTCTGCAGACGCTTTGCTGGCTCCCACTGACCCCTTATCGGCATCTGCGGCACCAGCCACTGTCTGTAATGGTCTCCCGCCCCCCCCAGCCACTGTCTGTAATGGTCTGTCACTCTCTGACGCAACACGCTCTGTTTCTTCCTTCTTCCGGAGACCTGCTGGTAGCAGGCGGCTTCCTCAGAGCTGGCCGCAAGGCTGCTTCCGCCTCTGCCGTCACTGTTCTCTGAGGCCCTTCAACATGGCCAGCCTGGTGTTGGCAGCACCCACTGCCCAGAGCCCCATCTGTTCACGTCCTGCCCCTGTGGAAAGTCACCGAACTTAGTGCCGGAAAGAGCACGGACTTACCCTCCAACCTCTGTGGGAACTGGAGTCTGCAGTGGGGCTCGCTAGACCATGCCCACGGTGCTGCCAGGCTGCCTTTGGTCCCCGGAGACTATCCTGGAGAAAGACCCGCCAACCTCATCGGGGTGCGAGCAAAGGCTGGGTGTGCATCTCTCTGACTCTCTGTCTCTCCTTCCTAAGACTCCTACGATCACACTGGGGCACAGGGGCCTCCCCAGCTCCACATTAGCTGGCCAGCAGCCTAATTCCATCTGCATCTTAACTCCCTCTTTGCTCCTGATATAGCCCGTGGACCCCTGTGGGGCAGTTACACTGCCTGCCCCTCAGCTCACAGCCAGCACCTCAGGGACATCCAAATCTCAAGTCTAGAATGTCTATACAGGAGCTGCTTTTCTAGCCAAAATTTCATGTTTCAAAAGAGACATTCTGGAGTACTAGCAGGGTGGTAATTATTACAAGTCACCAGAGTAAAACGTATCGGTCAGTTTCATTAAAACAAATTGAAAATAAATAATACTAAGAAGAGAAGAAAAGAGCAACAAAAAGTAAAAGTTTATATTTTTTTACGTATGTTTGACTAGTTATCCTGGTTTGGTAAATGTTACAAATCAGAGGCTGGTTATCTGCTAAAAATAGAACAGTTTCTGTCCCTGATTCATGTATATATATATATATATA